ACTGTAGGTGTCTATTTACAGCATTTGAATATGAGGAATTTTAGGCATAAATTGTTTTATTACAGCTTCATTGTAGATGTTAATTTTGTGATCATTTTATTGTGAGCTTGTTAATTTTACTAGAAGTTTGTTCTGTATGTTAGTTTTATTAAGAGTTTATTGTTGATATTCTACAGCTTTCTCTGTCATTATAGAATAATTCTGAACACGTGTAACAGTTCTAGTTGACTGACTGACTGATTGTTAATTATTTGCAGCTTCTTACATATTTTTGAAGCCAGAGAGGCCTGAACATGTTTAAATATGTGTTTTAAGAAAAGTCATTTTAATAATGCAACATGGAAATATAATAACACATTCAGAGAAATGTCACCTATTATCAGTAAATTCTGTGTGTAGCTGTTGAGCTGTGAAAGAAGGAAGGAACAGTAGATCGTGGTTAAAAATCTTTAATGATGGTAAATGGATTAAAGTTGAGATGTCAGTTCATTCAGGAGGTCAGAGTTTACAGCACATGCGGAGAGTGAGAGTGAGTGTATATACAGCAGAACAGCACATCATTTACTGGGTCAGGAGATTGTTTACATTGGCTACATGCTGAGGAGACCCATTCTAACACCTACACTGATGAGAAATCGGTATGGTTCAGAAATATGAGGATGGTTTGATGAACATTGATGTTACATTCTCTTTCTGACTTGTCTGTCAGTCAAACATGCACACAACATACATCCTTACTACATCCTGTAGACATTGGACCAACGGACCCTCGTCTGCTTTGATCTTGCACCTCTTTCTCCTGTTGGTCACACTGAAAAAACTTACTCATTGAATTTACTTGATTGAATAATACACACAATTTCTACATTAATCAAATATATTACATGAATAAAATTACTGCAAAAAGTATAATTTATACTCTATTCATATGTAAATGATGCTTAAATTCATATGTAAATGATGCTTGAACCATGTAAATTCAATGCAGCGCTTTTTCAGTGCAGCCTCTGCCCCGCCCCCTCTCCACATCACTTCCTGCCAAAGCGGAACCCAAATCCTCCTTTCTGTCTGTTAAAAGCCTGCAGGCCTCCGGCGATGGACATCAGCGCCTCGTTCCTCTTCTCACTTCCTTCACCCTCGTCCCTGCCTCGCTGGTGGTAGTGCACCATTTCCATTTGATTTTGGGGAAGGGTTCCCAGGGGTCTCCGGCTCAGTTCTTCTCTCTGGCCCCTCAGCACCCCGCCTGCAGGGGGCCGATGCCCATCCTAGTTGGTTCTCCACACCCTGCAGTCTGGCCAGAAACTCCTCAGGTCCCATCTCCCCAATCAGAGCCCAGGGCTGTGCCTCGCCAGCCCCCTGGGGCCCCCCCTAGCCAGGCCTGGAGCCTCAGCAGAGCCGCCTCCCAATCTGGGCCATCGAGCGCAGGCAGGTAGGCAGCCGGATGGTGGGGAATACTTAAGCCCCCTGGAGGCAAGAGCAGCAGTGCCAATGAGAGCAGGACGGGGGTAGAGAGGGACGAGCAGATGTGGAACAGGTGGAGCTTCATCTGCAGAGAGGAGAGAAAAAGCAAATTTTAGGGATGTATCCATGGTAGCAGAGCACACTAGCATTGTGCAGTACATTAGCACAGTGCAGTGGGTTCCTTATCTTAGTCTTTTCCCTGCTCAAAACAACCACCTATTCACTACATAACAAGCCCCTAAAAAGCTGTGTTTATGGACAAAGTTATCTCTTACCAAACTGAAGACATTCATGCTAGCTGTTTGATTAGCATATTGCAGTGGTTCCCTGCCCATTTAGCCAAACATATTTTGATGGTTTTCCTGATACAACTATTCAGCTAACTAACACGTTCTTAAAGAACAATGTTAAGGAGGAAGGTTCACCTCTCAAACAAGAGAAATTCATGTTAGCAATTTGAATAGCATAGTCCATTGGTTCCCAGCTCTGGTTCTTGTCCAGGAGTACCCTCTGTCCTGCATCCCTGCCCATTTTCCCTCCTCTAACAAACCTGACAGAGCTAATCAGCTAATTAACAAGCCCTTCCTGCATTTACAGTATATGTACTGGAGCAGAGAAAACCTCTCACATTGTCGATAAAACCATTGATCCCCTCTCAGAGGCTCAAAAAGCTCAGTTCCCATTCCAGACAACATCACTGCTACACCAGTTAGAGCCTTGGGCCAGACTCCTAACGCTACATATGCCTGCCATTGAAAGTCCCTTTGAAAAAGGTCTTCTGCTAAATAGGTAAAATCCAAATCTCACAAAAGCGAACCAGAGGAATTAAATTCATGCTTTACCTTGCAGAGTGCTGTGAGTCTTTTACACACCTACCCTCCGTCTCCTTAAATACGAACATGGGCCCCCCAGCCTGGCGTCAGAGTCTGTGAGAAGCTGCTGCAATTGGTTAGAAGGTTCCTGACGCAGAAACTGGATGCTGTGATGCCTTCAACATTCCTTGGGCCTGGAAACACAGCTTGCCTAAGTGGCGGACCTGAAGTGGCCAATTACTCCGGTGAATGACTGTCTGTTCATTAAGAATGGCCAGAAATCACAAGTTCTATCTGAATTGATTCACCTCACCAGGAAGTCAAAGAAACACCCAGAAGAATCCTTTTGTAGCCTCAATTACAGTGTTAGGTTTATATCATTAGGCCACATCGTCCGCTCTGAGGAGGAAAACGCTGGTCCTTGAATAGGTATATTCCTAGAAATGTGACTTCCAAAAACTGATCGATTTTACTCACTGATGTCATGAGACCATCATCGTAGTTTCAACAATTCAGTGCAACCTGAATGAAAAATAGAATAATTTGGATCCTTTTCTTAGAAAGATTTCTAGTCATTAACTTTTCACTAAAGTTAGACCAGCCTTGCATACTGTCTGTTTCAGTGTGATCCTGTTTATTTTTGTGGTGGCAAGATCCTTAAGCAGAGCACAACAAAACATTAATTTAATTTATTTCCAAATGTAAATGCGATAGTTCAAGCATACAGTGTTAAGTGTTTACAAACAGAAAGAACAGATGAAAATTTTCCCTTAAAAACCGTCAACATTGATGTTGATGTATGTGATGTATGTATCTATGTTTTGCATATGAGGACATAGATGTAAAGGTACTTCCCTGTGGGCCAGCTGCTTGATAGTGCATAGTAACAGAAATTAAGTAACAGAAATTAAAGGATTGTGGGGACTCTGGAGTAGAAGTGCAGTACACTTTACAGAGAGAGATTGATCGCTCTCAATGTTGTTTAGGCTTTGCAAGGTAAAAAAAAAAAAAAAAAAACCTTTTGCCTTAGGACTAATCTGCACCGAGAACATGTTTCTTATATCAACACAATTGTCTTCAAAGTACAACTGGAAACCAAAAGAGCTTAAAACTTGATCACAAAGTAAAACGCCACACATATTTTCTATGAGGAAACCAGACACATTCAGAAGTGCATTGAGAGATCATTAACAATGTTATGACAGTGCAAAGACCAACAAGTCCCAGCCTGTTGATATGGTTACAAAAGTTGATCAGCAAATAAGATCACAGTTTAACCCTCAATGTTCTGCCCCCCAGTGCAACACTATAACAAACGAAAGTTGCTTAGTGCATGTCCAAGTCAAGTCTGAGTTGAGTCTCTGAGATAAAAGTCTGACTCGAGTCTCGAGTCTCTGAGCTAAAAGTCAGATTTGGGTCTCAAATCTCTGAAGTAAGAGTCCAAGTCGAGGCTTGAGCCTCTGAGGTGAGAGCACAAGTCGGGTCTTGAGTCTCTAAGTCCAAGTGGAGTCTCGAGTTTCTAAGGTGAAAGACCAAGTCAAGTCTTGAGACTCCGATGTGACAGTCTTGGTCTCACATCTCTGAATTAGAAGTCTGAGTAAAGTCTTGAGTCTCTGAGCTAAAAGTCTGAGTCAGGACTCGAGTCTCTGAGGTGTGAGTCTGAGTCGAGTGTTGAGTCACTGAGGTGTGATTCTGAGTCTCAAGTCTCTGAGGTGTTACTCTGAATCCAGTCTTGAGTGTCTGAGGTGTGCGTCTGAGTCCAGTAGTGAGTGTCTGAGGTGTGTGTCTGAGTCCAATCTTGAGTGTCTGAGGTGTGCGTCTGAGTCCAGTCTTGAGTTTCTGAGGTGTGTGTGCGTCTGAGTCCAGTCTTAAGTGTCTGAGGTGTGTGTCTGAGTCCAGTCTTGAGTCTCTGAGGTGTGTGTTTGAGTCCAGTCTTGAGTCTCTGAGGTGTGTGTCTGAGTCCAGTCTTGAGTCTCTGAGGTGTGTGTCTGAGTCCAGTCTTGAGTCTCTGAGGTGTGCGTCTGAGTCCAGTCTTGAGTGTCTGAGGTGTGTGTCTGAGTCCAGTCTTGAATCTCTGAGGTGTGTGTCTGAGTCCAGTCTTGAGTGTCTGAGGTGTGCGTCTCAGTCCAGTCTTGAGTCTCTGAGGTGTGCGTCTGAGTCCAGTCTTGAGTCTCTGAGGTGTGCATCTAAGTCCAGTCTTGAGTGTCTGGTTTCTGAATCCAAGTCGAGTCTCGTCTCGAGTCCGAGCTGATTCTCGGATCTGTGGTTTTTGATTCTGAGTAATGTCTGGAGTCTGCGGTTTCTGAGTCCATGCTGAGTTTTGAGTCTTTGGAGTGCGAGTCTGGGTCAAGTCCCGAGTCTATGGTTTTTAAGTCTGAGTTAAGTGTCAAGTCTGTGGTTTTTAATTCTTTGTCTTGAAATATGTTTTTTTGAGGTCAAGCTTTGAGTCTCTGAGGTATAAGTCTGAGTCGAGTCTTGAGTGAGACACTGATTAAGTCTCATGTTTCTGAGGTGCAAGTCTGATTCCAGTCTTGAGTCTTTGGTAGAGAATTTGAGCGTAGTCTATGCTGGCACTGCATTGTACAAAGGTGTGCTAGCCAACCGTCTGAGGTGATGATTGGTCGTTAACTATGTATTTTATGCCTAGTACCAGTCATCTAGAAGAACAACCCTGACAATGTCCTACTTTTTCTTGGTGCCAAAATATATTTGATTATATATTAGAGAGCGATAACACTTTGCTGTTTACTTATCTGATTATTATATAATACTTATTTGAATAATGGATCTGGAACTGGACTTTGCTAGAATTTACACTCTGGCACTGGAGACATTCAATTTGGCAAAAATGAGAAACATATATGTTTTATTTGAGATGAATTGAAAAAATGACCATCTACATTCCAATCTGAATAAAAAGAAGAGCTTGTTTAAAGGAGCATGTTTATTCGAACCAGTGATTGTGAACACCTGACATAGAAAATCACAACACATTCACATAAACACACTGTTAGCTCTGTTTCTACACCAAGCACAATACATTCTTCATGCTGTGTATCCATGAATCAAAACCAAAGGTGAGCTGAAACCTGTCTGATGGGATTCTTGCATGACTAAGACTTTAGTGACTGATGTTTGTGACAAACAAGTCTCATGAAACAATCCTGCAAAAATATAAAACCTCGAGATAACAGATAGAGAGAGATGAGTACTGTGACCTGCTGGCTAACCAGACAAAAGCAATAAACTCAATAAAGTCTGAATCAGAAGTATAAGCCTGGGCCTCACTGTAGGCCTGAGATATGGATGTTGGATCAAAGCCAGTTCACGTACAGCACCTTTATTAGAGCCCCAGGTTCCAGAACTGCACTGCTGAAAAAACCCTTATCATGATTCACAAAGTGAAAGAATTTTGCAGTGGAGATGCCACTGCAAAATTCTTTCACTTTGTGAATCAATCGAAAGGTTAAGACAGCTCTACACACTGCATTTACATATTTAAATGAATGAATAAATAATAAATCAAGATTATCTTGGGGTGAACTGCTCATATGTGGAACTGTAAATGTTAAAATTTGACACTAAAAAAAGTTGGCACCATACCAAAAGACTATTGTGCATTGTTATATTTTTGTGTTCACATTTTTGTTTAGCCTAGCAACCAACTGGGTCCTTTAGTCAGTGTTTAGTAGATGTACCAGATAAAATGGCCACTGAGAACTACATGGCATGAGCAGCCTGGCAGCTCAGAGACTGAAGTATCTTACTATTGTACTTTACTTTACTTTGCTATCATTAAGAACACCAGTGCCTTAATGTTCCGCAGACACGACTGAGAAGGCGCCGCGGCTCGGCTAAGTTAGAAAAGATATATCTCTGATCTGTCACCACAACAGCTTCCCACGTCATTCACTTGGAGAAAAGAAATGACCTCATGTAAAAGATGAAGACTGCCTCTCATCTAACGATAAATTATTAGCTCTAGCATTAGCACATGCTCTGATTTAACAGGACTAAAAGATTTCTGTTTGAATGGCTGAGGCAGTGTGACTATTAAAATGTGCTTCTCTCTCTGCTTCCTTTGTGCTACTGAATTTGTTGTCGGTTCCTTTGGACAGATGATGGGCAACGTAATGTTGCAGCAGTTCTCAGACTAAAAAGGATTCTCAGTGGTGGCCATTTAGACTGTAAACAGTAAGAATTTAATTGAGAGGTCTTACATCAGCTGACTAAACAAGCCATAGCCATTTCGCTATGAAGGTGAGAGTCACAGGAGCTTTTTATAAAAGATTACTACTATGTACTGCCCTGTGAGAACTTCTGCACATGCAAGTTCAAGCTTTAATGCATCACCTTTTGACAACGTCAATTATTTTGGTGACACTGGTTCTAAAATCTGGCTACACCGCGTTCATAGCTGTTGTCGGATATATGCACACCTTTGATGGCCTGCAGTGCGTGCAATACCCTTAGGTATTTGGGGTTTCCATGCTGGCTGGCAACTCCAGTGTTGGCTAGCTGCTAACATACTTGCTATAGTAGTGCTGATGCTAGCAATAGTAGCAAAATGTTTAATATAACAATTTCTCTTTTGGAAATGCTCTTTGGCATGGCTCTTTCTGGGCAATTTTTTAGATTTGCATATTTGCAACAAGTTTTTTCACAGGTATCCTGGGCATAGTTACAGTTGCTGGACTTAAAAGCACCAACTGGGTAAATCAGTCTGCTACAGCGCCACCCTGAGGCAGACCAGTGCTGCAGCTTTAGTTAGTTTAGAATATCAAAGACAGAAGCTTGGTGATTGTGGGTGTCTTACTATTGAGCTTCTATTTTCCCTTATGGACAGCAGCATGTAATAGGTTCATTTTCAGCCACCCTCCCGAGAATTTTGATTTTGAGACATTCAGGGGTCCAAGAGGTTAATTAGGGGGTCCCAAACCCCCCAGGACTGTGAATGTGCGGCACCATTAGCTTGATGCTAACACAATGCAGGAAATTGCAAAAAAGCAATGGCAACAGTAACTGTGGTAACCAAACTACATTTATTGGTGGAACTGATTCATTCTTTAGAACTTAAAATATGTGTATTTTATCGAGTTGTCACTCTTAGATAAAACAATGAGCCACCTAAACAATGAGTGTGGGGGGGGCTCCTCTACTTTGTGTTATAACTAACAACACCAAATGGCTTTTCTTTTCAGCTAAGTAAAAAACGTCCCTGAAAAGATGTTGTTAAAACAGTTATGTACTCGTCCGTTGAACAATTCATGTTCATTAAAGTATATTTCTTGGAGTGAAAAGCGGGTTTTACCTAAACTATGATTTGACACTTCTTTGTCAACGATTGTTAAGAGCACATATTGAGACTATTTTGGATCCAAAGGTGGTTTAAACTCTTGAAAAGTCTGAGTATCAATGAGCACTAATGTCACAATAAGGGGGTAAAATGCATGGTCTTTGGATTTATTCCCAAGCTAGCACTTTCACTAAGATTGGCACTAAGGTTTACACGTGATATTGTTTTGCTGATTACTTTACTTTACTTGCTAAGGGTTTAAAGTGAAAAGTTATTGCAAACTGTATAAAAGATGCTAATTTCTATTAAAAACATTGTGAAATCCTCCTACTTGGACAGGCAGATGGACATGTTTGAAACAATGCATGTTGTCAAGGCATGCTGACCGACTCTTCATGATGTAATTCCATTATAATTCCGGGTTCAAGGTCAATATCCCCCAAGGAAGAGAGTACATGAGCATTCTGGGTACTGTAGTCCAGGAGGGCCGAGTTGTTGTACGTTTCCACTGGACTGGTGTGGTCCATGTTGTGGTTCAGGGAAGTTTCGCAGATGGGAGCCGTGAGTAAAGAGAGCTCCAGCTGGTCAATCGTGCTGGTCTGCTGGGTTAGAACATCCTGACAGGGTGCCATAGCGACTGTTTCTATGGTTTCAGCTTCAGAGGCAAACGTGGATATGGCTGTGTGTGGAGCGTCAGAAGACAGGGAGCGTCTGAGCTTGGCCCTCGCGTTCTGAAACCACACCTTACAAAGATAGACAGAGAGAGAAGAGGTGTTTCTTCACTTCACCATCACAACCTGGTTAAGTTCAGTTCAGTTCTGCAGCTCAGTTAATTCATCTGAAGAGTGGAAATCCAGCTTACAAACATTGGGGGACCAAGACATTTTTTGTGGTATCATTTTCACAGGTCAAAGTTTTAGTGCCAGAACCACAAAACAGGAAGCAAAACAGAACAATCACATGTACAGTTTTTATCCAGAGTTAGCTCAATGTTCTTTTCCCATAGGACGCTAATGGCAGATAGTTGAGTCTGACTGCCATAAATATTGTCACAAAGGACATTTCTCACACTGCCCCACATAGACATTACATACAGTCTCATATACGTATTAGCACACATTAGCACACATATTAGCAACCATATCTACAGTCTAGGACACCTTAGCAACCACCTGGGATAACATAGCAATGAAACTAGAAACACTTAAGCAGCCACCTGAGATACCAAAACAATGGCCTAGCAGCACCTAAGCAACCTGTGTGGAAAAGAATGCAACAGCCTGTTAAAGTGGTTAATCCCAGGTTTAGACCTTTGCAGCTATCTAGGATAACATAGCAATGGCCTAGCAACACCTTAGCAACCACCTGGGATAGCATAGCAATGGCCAAGCATCACATCAGCAACCAGTGTCTTAGTGCAGTCTGGTTGGAGTTTTTCTCCAGACTTTCTCTACACAAAGAGTTTACCGACAACCTGGTACTGTGCTAAAAGTATCTTTCTCTAAAACATGTATGATTTTGTTTACCACTTCATGAAGTAATCCAAAAAACTTCACTAAAATTTAGTGAAAAAAGTTTAATTAAAGTGTACAATAGTCTTTTGGGTCCACTATTTATATTTGAAACAAGATCTTTCCAAAAACTGACCCTAATTCAGCTCATAAATGTAATTTTTCTACTGTTTGATGAGCACAAAAACACTGAAAGGTATCGCAATTCACTCTGCTCTGGGTCAGTAAACTGATAGCTAGGCCTGGAACGCCTCTGGTGTTTTTCCTGAGTTTCCGCATTAGTGAAATAACACTTTGCATCGGATACATGCTGCTGTGGGAAACCATCCATCAGTTTTGAATTTGAGATTTTTACATAGCATAAACCATCAAAAAAAGTAAAAGACTTTGTTTAAGCCATTTTTCAAAAAAATTTCCCCATACTTCAATCATCTAGATGTAAACAGAGTGGTTTGGTGTGAAATGGTTCAGATGTCTTTACAGTGGTGGTGATAGGAACCAGGGGTCGCCATGACTACAACACAGCTATAGACATTTTATTTACTATCCAGAACCACCAGTGAACCTACACGAGTCCACGAGTTTTTTTTGATGATGGTAAAATAGTCATAAATCAGACAAAAAATCTTCTCAAAACTATCATAAAACAGTGTCTCAGTCATCAGGCAGTGAATTCATAACCATTTAATGTAGTAACTTTCTGTGAGGGAGCTTTTAGAGGTGGACGTCTGGTTCCTATCACCACCACTGTGAACAGTTCTGACTCTAGAACAGAGCATTTCACACCAAACTGCTCTGAGTGACTCTGTTTACATCCATTTAATTATGCAGAAATGAGGAAAAATCAGTGGAATTCCCCTTAAGACTTATGCCAAAACAGTATGAAATCATGTTTCCTCTCACTCTCAGTGTCACTTTGGAACTTTTCCTGTTGTGACACTACACATTAAAATGTTTTCTTTGTTGGTATAAGTTAACAAATTAAATATGAATTGTTTTTGTTTGAAGGAAAACAGTATCATGGGTGTAAATACGTGTGACAATACTCGCCTTCCCAAAAAGTCATGTGATACTGTTTTTCTCAAAATAAACCTGTAATCTTTAATAGTTTCAGTTACTGCAAACAGAGATTGGGAAAGAAAACACGATAATTAGGATTAAAGCCAGCTTGAAAAGTGAAGTCTCCTGAAACCTTTGGCCTGTAGTGTAATAAACCAGTGCTAAAATCAAAGCTTCTCAGCGCTGTGGGCGCAGATGGGTGTGGTGGGTAAATGCCTCTGAGCTAAAGCACATTAATAAAAGCCCTGTCGTACTTGTAAGACTCTCTTTGGTAAGCCAGTGTGGTTGGACAGGCTGATCCAGTCTTTGCCATCCGGGTTGTGCTTCTGAGCAAAGTAGGCCTCCAAAGCCCTCAGCTGCTCCCTCCGAAAACAGGTCCTCATTCGCTTAACACGTCTCTGAGCCCCACCCCCGGGGACCCTCTCGTCCAGTCGCGGCTCGGGACTGCTCACTGGCTCCTCCCCATCTCCTGCAAAGGAAACCATGGTAACCAAGACACCTGAGAGGACCTGAGAGAGTTCCTGAGAATCAGTGTCTTACACAATCTCTGATCAGAGAAGGCAGGAATAACGCTCATCGTCACAGAGTGGAAATGCTTTTGTAAAGCTGTTTCCTCGTTTGGTTTGAGTTACTTCCATTAATCCACAGAATGAGTCCCGTACAACTACCCAGTCCCATACAACTGACCTCTTACACTCCAGGCGTATTTACAACTATGAATTAATCAGTATCTACTATGAATTATTCAGTATCTACTATAATTTCTTCAATTTATACTATAAATTAATCAGTATCTACTATAAATTATTCAGTATCTACTATAAATTCATCAATTTATACTATAAATTAATCAGTATCTATTATGAATTATTTAGTATCTACTATAAATTCATCAATTTATACTATAAATTAATCAGTATCTACTATGAATTATTCAGTATCTACTATAAATTCATCAATTTATACTATAAATTAATCAGTATCTACTATGAATTATTTAGTATCTACTATAAATTCATCAATTTATACTATAAATTAATCAGTATCTACTATGAATTATTCAGTATCTACTATAAATTCATCAATTTATACTATAAATTAATCAGTATCTACTATGAATTATTCAGTAACTACTAGGGGTGTGTGAAAAATCGATTCTTAGATGCATCGCGATGCGGACATGAATGATTCTGAATCAATTCACAAATGTCAAAAATCGATTTTCTAAATATTTAATTCATATCGTAATGTTGACGGAACGCAAAAGGCGGAACTTGGAAGTGCTGAAGTGCAGCACCCGGACAGTCTGTGGCGGCACACAACAAAAACACATGAGTGGAAAATGGATGAGTGAGAAATCCGACCGGCTCCCTCTGCTTTAAAGCCTGGTTAGATCAGGAGTCACAACACAAATGATAAGAAGAGACTTTTTGTCCTTTCAACAAAAATCAAACCACCTTGGGAGCCACAATATTTAATGTCCAGTATGTCTTGGTGTGTGTTAATGTTCTAGTATAGACTAAACAATATAAAGGAAAACGCAGATTTACTTTACTCTGCTTTAAACTTTAACTACAGCTGCTTTCCTCCCGTCTCCGCCAGAAAACTCTTCCTCAGAAGTTGATCAGTTAAATGTCTCTCAGCGTTCGACTGTTTTACGAGGCTGAAGTCGCTTCTTATTCTCCAGCTTCTTGTTCGAATTTACCTGTTCCACCTTAAATTCTAACTGAGGCACCGAATGTAAATGCAGCACCATTTAAGGTGGAACGGGAGAATCGAAAGAGAAGCAACTTCAGCTTCGCCACTTTTTACTGTGTGACAGTCTCTCGTTGCAGATTTAACGTACCAGGAAACCAACTGCGCTGCTTATAAATGCGAATTACGCATCATTGCTGTGTGACCTGCGGTCTGCACACCGGTTCTCAGTCGTTGAGAAACAGGGCTTTTGCGCTATGTTGCACACGACCCGTCTGCACAGCGACCCCCCCGTCTCTACAACGAGACCAAACCGAAGTCAGAAAATCACTAAAGAAAACGGGTGGAATAGCTGTAACGTGCTGCGTGGTCATCCATCACCACTGGATCTTATTCCACCGTAACTGAGCATTTTATCGCAGATGAGTGGCAGCAGCGTCTCGTGCTCCGAACAAGAGCACTGAATGAGAGGCTTCTAGTTCACTAACCACATCACTTCCATTTGATTTATTAAAAAAGATATTGGAAGTAAATTCATTATGGATCATTACAAATACTTTAAAAGTACCAAGTCACTTTAAATAACAATCACACCGAGTCACTTAGTCACTTTAAAATGTATATTGTCTCTATATTCTGTGTATATTCTGTGTATATTTTGTGTATATTTAATATATTTCAGTTGTTTTTTCTTGTATTTTTATTTTTCCTTATTTCCTTTCTGTAGAGTCATTAGCTGAGCCTCACCACAAGCACTTCAATGCATAAATGTCCTGACATGTTGTGCAAATGACAAATAAACTTGAAACTTGAACTCGAAACTTGAGCTCACACAGTGATAAAATAGAAATGCTATATAGAAAAAAAAAGATGCATCAATAATCGTTCTATAATCGCATCGCAGCCTCTGAATCGTAATCAAATCGAAACGTGAGGTGCTTAGATTCCCACCCCTAATAACTACTATGAAATATTTACTAACTACCATAAATTATTCAGTAACTACTATAAATTATTCAGTATTTTCTATTAATTATTCAGTATCTACTTTAAGTTGTTCTGTATCTACTACAAATTATTTAGTGTCTGCTACAAATGATTCAGAATCTACTATGAATTATTCAGTATCTCCTATAAATTATTTAGTATCTACTATTAATTATTCAATATCTACTATGAATTATCCAATAACTGCTACATATTATTCAGTATCTACAATGATAATAGATACAATTCGGTATCTACTTTAAATTAATCAGTAACGTCTATGAATTATTCAGCTGATTATGAAGAACAAATCATGAATGAGTAACTCTGCTTAACTTGAAGATCCAATTTGATCTAAAGAAGTGAAACAGAGTGTCTCTTTCAGTTCCTGATGGTTATTACCCGGGAAAACCAAAAGTCATGAAATCTCAGACATTTGTGTCAGTCCAGACTTCTGTCTCAGCACTTTCTAATGACCAGTATGCCTGACCCAACATTTCAGACTCACACAAATCAGTGTGTTCAGTTAAGAACAACACATTCTCTGATACTTTAACACACAGTGTGTTAAAACAGAAGTCAGTGTGACACACAGAGTGTTGTGATTTAACACATCACAGAAGTCAATGAGGACCGCAGATGGACGAAAGAGAACCTGCCATGTGACTTTGGGGATATATTTACACAGCATCACACTCATATAAAAACTGAAAACTGAAGACAGTTTTTCTTTACACAGTTTGAGAAATGCCAGCTGCTCTTTATGCTGAGCACTGTATGAAGAATAAAGCAATAGAAACGAGTGTATCAGACACAGCAGTGACTCTGACTCTGACTCTGCTGGAGTTTTTACATATGTCAGCGTCACTAGGTTGAGAGTGACCACCACCTAAAAATACCCAGATAAGAGCAGCTATGTGGACAGAACCCGACCACTATGAAGGTCTAGAGGACGACTATCACAAACTGTACATCAAGATTATGATACAGTCTCTAACTGAGCACAGCAAGGTGGAGCTACAGGAGAGGGGTTTCTGATAAAGTGACCAGTGAGCATAAATGAGTAGTACATTTTTTATGTCATTCACTGACCCTGTGAGTTGGTAAGTTGGAGGGACAGTGAGGATTCGTCAGTTTGGTAATGTGATTGACAGTAAAGGCTCCGGCCTTCAACACAGTACAGGTTTCCTGGAAGCAGAGTGACGTCACATTCCTGCGAAATGCACACACAGACATTCCAGAGTGCAGTTAAATAAAACTGAAAGAACTTAAATACACACACAAAGAGTCCTCAGCTTCAACACTCTGAATATATATGGATCATGTCATAACAGTTTTTGTAATTTTACTTACTAATAACTTTTACAAACTTCAATTCCAAAAAAGTTGCGACAGTGTGTGAAATGCTAATAAAAACAGAAAGCAGTGATTAGTAAATTCTGTTTGACCAGTATTACTTTGAAAACAGTACTAAATATTTGATGTTTTACCTCACAAACTTCACTGTTTTTTTGGAAACGTATGTTTATTCTATATTTGATGATTAGAACACATTCCAAAAATTTTGGGACAGGAGCATGTTTACCACTGTGTTACATCAGCTTTAAACAGCACTTCAAAATCGTTTGGAGACTGAAGACACAAACTGATCCAGTTTTAGAGCAGATTTTTTCTATTCTAATTTCATCAGAACTGAAAGTTCATTTTCAGAACTTATCAGAACGTCATTCTGGATGTTAATTTCATTAGAACTTCATTCTGGATGTTAATTTTATTAGAACTTCATTCTGGATGCTAATTTTTTAGAACGTCATTCTGGATGTTAATTTTATCAGAACTTCATTCTGGATGTTAATTTTATTAGAACTTCATTCTGGAAGTGAATTTTATTAGAACTTCATTCTGAACTTTAATTTTATTAGAACTTCATTCTGGAAGCGAATTTTTTTAGAACTTCATTCTGAATGTTAATTTTAATAGAACTTCATTCTGGATGTTAATTTGATCAGAACTTCATTCTGGATATTCATTTTATTAGAACTTCTTTCTGGACATTAATTTTATTGGAACTTCATTCTGGAAATTAACTTTATCAGAACTTTATTCTGGATGATACTTTTATTAGAATTTTATTATTAAAGGTCTACAGCTTTTTCTTTCCTAATTAATAATATGCATAGTATTTTAAATATTATTTAAACAAACTATATAGAAACATCCTCCGTATTATTATGTAAAAAGTTATATAGCATCTTTTTTACATTTATTTGCCAGAATATTTGTTTTTTTATTATTGAAAACAATAGTTCCGACCCTTTGAACAGTAGTCTATCTAGTTATTAGTCTTGTTTTGTTTTTGTTTTCTTATCTGGTGTTGACCAGAGGAGGATAGGTTCCCCTTTTGCATCTTGGTTCCTCTTAAAATGTACTCTGCTTGCTCCTAGAGAGTGTTATATCACTGCTCATTGCAACTGCATTTTCTATGAAGCTGCTTTTTTGAAACAGCCATTGTAAAATGTGTTATACGAATCAGATTGAATTGAATTAAATGTTTAATGGATCAGTGTGTAAGATTTAGGAGAAATGGAATATAGTATACAAACTATGTTTTCATTACTGTATAATTAATCTGTGACTATGAACCGTTGTTTCATTAGCTTAGAACAGGAGTGCTGGAGGGTCGGTGTCCAATACAGTTTTGAGATTAACCTACTTAAACTTGTTGCTACAGTAGCCAAGAATGGACAATCCAAATGCTGGCTCTACAGACCGCCATTCATGTTTTTACATTGAAGCAGCAGCTTGAATTTGGTGGTGCTACAGCACCGGCTGGAAGACGTAGAAAGAAGAATAATCTTTGATGAAACCTGTCCTTCCCCAGCATATTTATAGGTAGCTCTGTACATAAAACTTGGATATTTGAAAGCTTAAATCTCTGTATCAAAAATATTACAAGCAGTAAAACTAAAGCTGAAGTCAGCTTCTTATTCGCCAGCTTCGTGTTTCAATTTTCCTATTCCACCTTAAATGATGCAGCAGCTACTTTCTGGCGCTGACATTCTGCTTCTTGTTCAAATTCTTCTGTTCCACCTTAAATGGTGCAGCACTTATTGTTACACTCAGGTGCCAGAGTGTAATTGCAGGGCTGTTTAAGGTGGAACGGGACTTTATTAAAATTAAAAACACATTAAAACACTGAGTCACTACACTGTGCTAATGATATGCTTATGCTCGGTAGGGTAAATCATTAGAACCCCGGTGCTGGCTAACCACTTTGTGTTGTGAGAAGTTTGAGAACCCAAATTTTAAAGCAAAAACAAACAAAATCAAAATTGACGTGACGCCAACGGCAGAAAACATGACGGCCACCGTAGGCTTTTGGGGGGGGACGGGGCTTCAGTTGGTTGCAGTCAGTAACCTCACCACTAGAAGTTACACAATGATCCTTTAAACCATCATTTCACATTAATTACTGGGTCAAACATGACCTGAGCCTCTTGGTAAAAATGACGTAGATCATGTGATAAATATTCTACTCCATGGATTTTGTTACCTAAACTCATGTATGGTCACACAGTATGTTGAATCACAGACCTGGCAGGAAAAGCACTGAAGGTGAAAGGTCAAGTCGCCAGACCTCATGACCAGAGCGGATGACGGGATTGGCTGAGAGCAGCGGGCGCATCTCCCAACACCAAAAAGCCTGAAAAAGAACAAATACAGTGCATTTCATAAAGGAAGAGTTCTTGAAGGTGGTTTAATTTGAGTTAATTTGTATTTTATTCACATTAAACTGTACTAAAAACACAGTATAACTGACTAGCTTAGCCAGGTATTAACAGAGGGATAAGTGGTCACACTGGTCCTATAAAACACCATGCTAACCTTTTCATTGGTCTAGAACTGTGACTGGACAGTGACAGAATCTTTGTTGGCTGTACTGGAATCACTTACCATATTTTTAATTAATATTCAAACAGGCCACACAGGAAACAACAGCTCTGTGTTTTCTAGGAGGAGATATCTGGGACTGAGTGAGAGCCGTCAGCACTAAATTAACAGAGTTCTCCTGCTGTAGAATAATCCCTGAGTTTCTAATCCCTGAGCTGAATAATGTGGGTTCAGTAGAGGCGACAGAAGATCAAAAGTAAAAGCGCGCTGGTAAAAGTTTGGTTTACATTTTTTTGCTTAAGTAAAAGTATAAAAGTAAAGCAGATGTATTTGGAATAAAAAGTAAAAAGAAATAATTTTCCTACTTTTTTCTAAGTTTACTTTTCTGATTGTAGTTTTTTTATAGAGTATTAATTAGAGGTACACAGCCATGCCATAATACTTGTATTATGCCTTGAGGATTGGAGGGGGGGGGTGGTTGATCCCTTGAGAGATATCTGTACATGGGTTTCATTTCCAGTGTATTTGCTCATTCCAGAACATGCGCACACTCGCCACTATTTCTTTGGATCCCATTACTCATCTGTTTCATCTGCTTGTCTCATGTTTTTCCTCCATTCTTGGTAGCTGTGGAAGCAGCCAATCAGAGTTGACCTATAGAAATGCGCAGATATACAGTGTCTCAAGGGATCATGTGACCCCCCCCATTCTGGTTTCACATCCATAGGATTTCTGTTTGCTAACCGATTGCCAGTTGATGAATAGAAGCTGGCTGATTTAAAAAATATACATATATACACATCAAATTTAATGGTATGAATCCATATGAACTCTTTCTCATCGTATTCCGCTGGGATCCATCTACTCGCCACCGGTGGGCGTTTCTATGTCGTTTTTGTCATGAATTATTTTGTTATGGATTGACCATATCGAACATATCTGGGGCAATTATTTGTAAAAACAGAAGCTTGCAAAACACAGACTTTTGCTTTTCAAATTCATCCGTCACCCACTCGTTCAGTTCTACTCGGAGGTCAGCTACCTTAGCGAGTGAACTATGGGCTCCATATGGTTTACACTTTGCCTTCCCACTCAAACCATGTAAACTACATCTAATGACACATCTTCCCTCCAGACCTTCACTCTCAACAGCTCTGTATCATTGATCATTTTCTGAAGTAATCAAACACATTCAGTGGTGTTGAGGTCTGGACTCTGGGGTGGTCAGTCCATTGTTCAGCTTCTTTGTTTGATGTGTCCGTCTCCTTTTCTCAGTGAGGTTCTTCTTGAACAGCTACACATCCTTTCAGACCCACAGCGCTGAGTCGTCTTCTCACAGTGGAAGGATGGACAGAAACACCTGTGGAGGTTTTCAGATCTGAAGCAGCTTGATTTTCTCCTCTCTCTCAGAGATGAAAGCTTTAAGTGCTGTTTATCTGATGGGGGCAGTTTTGGTGTCTACCAGGTCTTCCAGGTGGTTGTTAGGAGTCACATTTTCTCTGGAGCTTTTAATCAATTTTTGAACTCCAGTTTTGGAAACTACTGTTTATTTATATTTTTTCCTTTGACCTTCTACTTCCTTTCTTCTGTGCAAATTAATAACTTAATGGCCATTTTGGTCTCTGACTTTTGCACAGTACCCTATATTTGAGTGAGCTCTACACTGAAATTCTGATGTGTGTGTTTACGTCACTGTTTCCATCCATGCTCTATTTATGACTCCAGTTGAATGTTCACTTGGACAGACTTATATTTGGTGTAAATACTGTAGTATATACCATCAACACAGCAGCACGATGGTTTAAAGTGAAGGGCGTAATGAAATGAATTGCTTTCCAGCTCTAACTCCAGCTCTACAGTCCTACCGTCTCTGCTCTGAGTGCTGAGATTAGAGCTCTGGAGGTTCACCTGCAGTAGTCCAGCTGGCAGTAGATGCTGCCGTCTCTGCAGTAGAGTGAGGAGTGTGTTTGAAGCTCACACTGGCACTGACTGCAGCGTAAACAGGGCCCATGCCACGCCTGTCCAGCGGCTAACAGGACGAAACGGTCACTGACCCGCTCGCCACATCCTCCACATATCAGAGGAGCTGCTACAAGAGACGGCTGTGAGGAGAAAATATAAGAGAGAGAATTAGTGTTATTAAAGTCATACAAACATTAAACATATGTAGTAAAGCAAATCCATTTCCCCCCTTTAGTCCAAATGTAGTCGATCAACCAAGACATGTTTGGAGTCTGAAGTTTGCTTCTTTTTGCACTGGAGCCACAAGGCTAATGTAGCTAACAATGTAAAGGAAGCTTATTAGCAAAACCAATTAGCATGATGCTAAATGCCAAATCATCACATTCGCCTCAAACTGTGTGGAGGTGTTCAGTATCTCTAACAGACTTGATTATGTGGTTTCTAACACTGTATTACAGTTGACCATTTGCTGAGGCTCTGGGACTCCAGAGAACCACAGTGAGAGCCATTATGCACAAATGGAGGAAATTTGGAACAGTGGTGAACCTTCCCAGGAGTGGCCAGCCTACCAAAATTTCACCAATAGTGCATCAAGGTCACAAAAGAATAGTCACTTAAAAGCTGCATTTTGTGTTTACTCATCTTGTCTTTATCTTATATTAAAATTGGTTGGATGATCTGAAACATTTAAATGTGACAAATTAGCAAAGAAGAAATAATGTGAGGGGCAAATACTTTTTCACAGCACCATATATTGAACAGACAGCAAGGGAGGACTGCTGAAATGACCGAGATAGCAGGCTGGTCACTTCTAGCCATAAAACTCTCGAACACGAACACTGCATTACTGCCCTACAGCCCAACACTGGATAGCACAAACAACACACGCACACATCATTAAGCTGACGACATCAACTTATATACACGTTGAAGTCTCTTCGATTGCGATCACAGCGCTTCCCATGAGCCTCCTCGAGCGGCCACTCTGCATGGCTATGCCTCTTGTGCTCCCACTGTCATGTGAGCCAGTGGCAGGACGCTACAATAACTTATGTTATTAATTATTATTACAAATAAGCTAATGATGCAAATGAATGTTTTCCTCTTAAAGAACGCAAAGGCTCTATGAGCCAAATCACGATGAGGCTTTAAAATCACCCTGCTTAGGCTACCGTAACTCCCTTCTCATTGGTGTCCCAAACAAAACCATCCAGCCCTTCTGTACCTGCAAAACTCAGCTGTTAGAATATTAAAAATAATAATAATAAAAAAAATCAGCTCACATCACCCCAATTCTACGTCAGCTACACTGGTTCCCATCCCGCTTCTCACCCAGTTTAAACTCCTACTAACATACACACTTAAAAATGATGGTTCTTCAAGGGTTTTCTAGTAAAGAATATGGTTCTATATAGAACCCTGAACACTCAAAGAACCCTATGCATGATTAAATGGTTCTTTACATGGTGAAATGGTTCTTCAGATGGATGGAGAACGTGTTGTATATTTCACTTTTTGAAAAGGGCTCTATAGAGCACCAAAAAGTGGTCTTCCATTATTACAAACTTGACATCGTTACAAAAGAAGAACCCTTTCTGGCGCTATATAGAACCCTTTTCAAAATGGTAAAGGGCCTACTAAAGAACCCTCGAAGAACCACAATTTTTAAGAGTGTACAAATCTCTACATGGTCTAGCACCAGCCTATTTAGCTGAGCTCCTGCACCCCTACAGCCCTGACCAAACACTTCTGACTTAGGTCGTTTATCTGTCCCTAAATTCATACTGACCACCGCCGGGGGCAGATCATCCAGCGTCATGGCCCCAAACTATGCAGTCTCTTCATGACTGTCCCTCACTTCCCTACATCAAAGCTCAGCTCAAGGCCTGCCTGTTTTCATTCTTCCGCTCACTGAAGTTTTTTTCCCTTCCTCTGCCTCTGTGAAACGACCTCGGGTGTGAGAGAGGCACAAGATTAACTGATAAACGTACTATTCTTATTATGAGAAATAAGACTGCAGGTTGAACAGTGATTGTTTTGTGTGTACTGATCAGATTTTTCATATGAGAGAGACTGAGCATCATTACACTGGGTGTAGATATATCATCCCCACTGGAGCCGCTGTTTGATTGGCCTGCAGACTCTGCCCCGCCCTCGCTGTTGTCATGGAAACTGCTGTACAGCAACTCATCAAGGGTTCCATCATCTGAAGACGTCATCCTGACTCTGAAAGCGCAGAATGTAAGAAACAGGAACTTCACACAGAAATGAGCCACTCAGTCAGTGCTGGATTAAATTACACTTTCAGAGCTTTTATTTACTTTATATTCACTTTCATACTTCAGTGTGTGAGCTGTAATCAGAGTGATTCAGAGAGGTTTGGTGTGAAATGGTTCAGATGTCTTTACAGTGGTGGTGATAGGAACCAGGGGTCGCCATGACTACAACACAAATATAGACATTTTATTTACTATCCAGAACCACCAGTGAACCTACACGAGTCTTCTGAGTTTATATGGAATGATGATGATGGGAAAACAGTGGAAAATCTGAAATAATAAGTTTTCTTTGGGGACTATTTTGCCTCATAACACCCTGCATATTATGTATCCCTCCACCATCTTCTCAAAACTATCATAAAACAGTGTCTCAGACATCAGGCAGTGAATTCATAACCATTTCATGTAGTAACTTTCTGTGAGGGAGCTTTTAGAGGTGGACGTCTGGTTCCTATCACCACCGCTGTGAACAGTTCTGACTCGGTAAGTTTCTCTAGAACAGAGCGTTTCACACCAAACCACTCTGAATGACTCTGTTTACTTATTTGTCTTTTAATTATGCAATCTTTTAACCCCTTCACAAGCCAACCAAAGTTTTATTACACACTTCTATAATCTAAGAAAAGCTCCATTAGTTTACATTGAGGTCCCTGTAGTTTATGAATAATAAGCCTGGATTGTTAAGGGGTTAAATGCAAATTTTGAAAAAATCAGTGGAATTCCCCTTGAGCTCAATACAGCTTTAAACAGATTGCCTTAAAGGTGAAGGTTTTGTGAGTAAGCGGCACATAACCTGTTAAACTGCATTAATTTACTGGTTAAATTCTAACAATTGCTCACCCAAAATAGAGAAGCAACATTTAAATATACATCAGACACTTTTAATATTCATAATCAATAAAAAAGAAACATTAAGAAATTAAAGCTTCCTTTGTTTTCTATTTAATATTTTTAATTTTCATTCAAACTCTTTAACTTACAGTAATAATTAAGTAACAATAAACATCAGTCAGGAAACTGTATCAGTTAATTGCACTAAGACGTTAGAATAAAGGTCCACGTACCTCTTCACTGCTCCGATGTTGACCTCAGATGGAACTGTCCCTCAGTCCTCGGCTGTTTAACGCTGTTCTCTCACCTCCCGCTTTATTCCCATGATGCCACAGCTCACCTGTAAACAACTCTGCTAGCAGGTGCAAATGCAGATGATTGGCTGCAGCCTAGAGAAGCGGGCGGAGATTAGCGCCCAGGAAGACAGAAGGTCCGTCCCGAAGGACCAATTAAAAAAGCCAAACTGCCGTCTGAGATGGCGAAGAACCCGAAAATAAGCTCAAACTCCTTGAAGAGCTCAGCCACGAGAACCAGCACACTGAGGCCTTCTGATGCGGATCTGCGGCTGAACTCAGGAGATTCTAATAAAAGACCAGGTCAGAGTTCTCAGGAGCTCCTGAGGAGAACGCCGCGCGCTTTAACGTCATATATAAACAGGTTCCCAACCTCCCTTCATCCCTTACCATTAAACAGGCTGTTTTTCTTACTGCATCTTTTAGACTCATATATCACTGTTGGTAACTTTACAGGGGAAGGAAAAAAACCTACTTCAATTTTAGTCAATGGAATTTGAATTTAGTCAATGTAAGTCAATGGAACCAGAATTTTGGCCAAGTAATTTTGGGACATTTCATTTGGTCCATTTATCATGACATTTACACACAACGTAAAGGGCAACAGGTAGTTTCCAATTATGTCAAAAACTGAAAAACGACAAAAATGGAGATACAGCGTTTTCTTCCAACAGCAGCAATATGTAAATAAGCTCTGTTTTGATTGGCTGCCCTGTATTATGACTCATTCAGAAAGAACTAAGAGCTGAAACACTCTTTATAACCTCTGTGTGAGTGGGCGTGGCTAAACTGCTGTAGGCTGAATAGGTGGACATGTGTAAATTCATTTGTTTTTATGTCACAAAAATGGTATGTTATGTAAGTTTATCAATGTCAACAGTACTACATCAAACTCTTTTGTGTCAAGAAAAGCAAGGAAATGCAGTTTTCCATGACATGGGCCCTTAAACAAGTATATAAAATGGGGGTAAGGCGCCCCTTTCACATTCTCTCCTGATCAAATGGTCAAATCTAATCTCAACACAATTACTAAATGACTCTTATTCTGAAATTGTGTTTGTATTACTGTTGCTGCCCATTCTGAGATCTGCTGAGCTAATCTTTTGACACTGGATAGTGATTTACACATGAAATTGTGCCAGAAATCTTCTTTACAGTGTGATATTAAGGGTGGATCATTATTAACAGAGTAATCTATTTTATTTTAAGACAGAAAAAACAGGTCTTTCTTTTAAAGTATAAAAGCACGAAACCTAAAAGACAAGAACATGATTCCCCTTCAGCTTACTGCCCCAAAAATATGTTTACAGTTCCATCATAAAGACATACACTTCATATCTGAGAAGTGCTGACCTTCTGCTAGCATTAGCTTGTAGCATGTTGACAGTCATAATTATGTCACATTTAAGATAAAGCTTTCTCTAGTGTAGCCTCCTCCTTATCTTAGCGTAGCATAGAAATAATAAATAAGAGTAAAGTTGGAGAAATGAAAATGCAGATATTAGAAAAAGTTATTTTGCATGTTTGTGTAGAGCAGGCATGTCAAACTGAGGACCTTCTGGGCTGCAGATATCAGCGTTTACCCTCATCTAATGCTCTGAATTCAGTTCATGACAGCCTTCCTAATTAGCTGATGAGCTAAGTCAGGTGTGTTTAATGAGGCAGTGTGCAGAGCTTTGGCCCACGAGGGACTGGATCCTGACACATGTGGTGTAGAGCAGGAGAAGTACAGTTGGAGCAGTGGTCACCAGCCCTGGTCCTGGACATCTACCTTCATGAAGAGTGTGGTCCCAACCAGATTCTACCACACCTGCGCCAGCTCATTAACAACTTCAGAAGTCTCTGATTGGCTGGATCAGGGGCTGGATTCACAAAATCTTCTTAAATGTGTTTTTTCTTAACATCATTCTTAGGAAAAAAGTTATGAAAAAGTAAGAATGGTCTTATTTTCTTATTTTCTATTATGTTCTCTATTTTCTGGAAAATATGTTCTTAAATGTTTTCTTAACCTTCTGATAGACTCACACTTGTCTTAGGCTGTAAATGTATCAATTTATCTACTTCTGCCCATCCTAATCTTTTGCTTTCCGCCCACAGTCATTGAATTTCGAAGGAAGATTTTTTTTCCTGTTGGCTGTTTCTTCCACCATCACCTCTGGTTCTTGTTTGCTAAATTGTTTAAATGCTTGGTTTGATGTTTTTTTCTTCGTTTGCTCCTTTGAGTGGATTAAACTAAATAACAGAAATAACAGTTAATATGAATTCAAAAACTATCTTGCATCATTTATGGTACATGGTAAATTACAACATAGCCCACATAGGAAAACAAGATTATCATACGAGAATATTTGAGAACTTAAGTTTTTTTTCGAGAACTGCATTTAAGAACATTCTTATGAACTTCTTATTGTTTGTCTTAAGAACCTTTGCAAGTTTCTTTCTTAAGAATGTTTTTGTGAATCCGGCCCCAGGTGCTTTAGTGTTAGGTAAGGGGGAGGGGCAGCATGTTAGGTGGAGGTTAGAACTGTAAACTCTGCAGGAAGGTGGATCTCCAGGTGGAGGGTTGGAGACCACTGGTTTAGAATTTAAGGTGGTCCGGTCTGCACCGTGTAGCTCATGTGTCAGGCTCCAGTCCTCACAGGTCAAAACTCTGCAGACTTCAGCTCACTGCCTCATTAAACACACCTGATTCAGCTCATTATCAAGGCCTTCATGAACTGTATTCAGTGTTAGATGAGGGTAAACGCTGATCGCAGCAGAACTTTGGACCAGAAGGTCCCCAGTTTGACATGTAGCTCCTGGTCTGAAAACAAGTCTCACCGTGGCCCTGTATGCTGTCAGGTTAAGGGGTGAACAGTAACGGTCAGTCATTCCTCCAGCTTTTTAAAGCTGCTGTAGGCCCCCTGGTCACCGATAAGCCTTTTCTTCTGTTAATTTTGACCTTGTCATCCAATTGACGAGTCCTCGCATGCTCTGTGGTAGAGCCGGTACTTTTAATATTCGTCTGTTGCCATTCTGCTAACCTGTGTCTTTTAACAGTCAGGTTCTGTTGTTAACTCTGGTAACCAGGATACTGAGTTTTATTCATTTTAATAATAAGTTTGTCTTGAGTTCTGTATTAAAACCTACCATTTCAGTAATGACTGTTTATATCCACTACAGGCATTTTTAGGTGGATTTTAAACAGAAACTATGGAATGACGTAACATGAAGCTGTTTCAGTTCCTCACTGCAGTACTGACCGAGCAGTTAAGAGCAGTGCTCATATATGACTCCGACAGATCTTTCTGTTTACTACAAAACATTATTTTATTAACAATAAAACCTTAATTATATACATATTAAAAATACATGGACACTTTCACAACATTCTGTACAAAACCTTACAACATATCAAAAACTTAAACAATAAAAAAAAATATATATAAAAGATCAGAAACAGAACAGAATGGATTGGTATTAAGATTTTCCCGCCTGCTAAAATTCAGTTTTAAGTACCCGTCAATAAACAGCTGAATCACTGCAGTCGGCTGCTTACGAGTTATGAAACTTCATCTTCTTCAGTTATGACAATGTTAATGCACTGATAATAATAAAATCATAGATGAGCTGCAGGTAAAATCAGTAATGTGAATGTCATTATTTAGTTCACGTGTGCATCAGTCCAGGTGTGAATGTCGATCCTCTGATGGTCTGAAGAGCAGATCCACAGCAGCACTGCGCTCTGTTCCTGTGGTCTGGAGCTCCTGTGGTCTGGAGCTCCTGTGGTCTGGAGCTCCTGTGGTCTGGAGCTCCTGTGGTCTGGAGGTCAGATGCTGAGGGGAAAACACTCCTGACTGCAGCAGTATCACTTCATATGTTCTCCACTCCGCGGATGCGGCGCGCCAGCTGGATGTCACGAGGGTACAGAGTCACACGCTTAGCGTGAATCGCACACAGATTAGCATCAGAGAAAAGACGCACCAGGAACGCCTCCGCGGCCTGAGAGAGAGAGAGAGAGAGAGAGAGAGAGCGAGAGAGAGAGAGAGAGAGAGAGCGAGAGAGAGAGAGAGAGAGAGAGAAGAGAAAGAAAGGGGGGAGGGAGGGAGGGAGAGAGGGAGAGAGAGAGAGAGAGAATTATTTCTACTCATTTAATATTCTTCTCATATCTCATCAGTATATTGTTGATTTCCGTCTTTACAGGCGACTCAGCAGCGCACGCTCACCATATAGGGTAGATGTGGGCAATACGGTAAAAACTTAATTATGTATTCAGCAAGTTTTGATGATACACAGTGCGTCATGATATTGAATTTTTCTGACATCTGATAAGTAAAAACAGTGTGTCGCATCTAAACAAACAAACAAAAAAAAAAAAACAGTATGTTTAGTATATCAGTATGATGAAATAAATTAACTGTTCAACATTTCACACACTGAGCTGCACTAAACTGAATTAAAACAGAGGTAATGGTGCTCTTTCTAATAAGCAGACGTTAAGTACTGACAAAATCCATGATATATTCAGAAAAGCATGTTGTGCCATTATAAAACAATTTACCACAATAATTGTAAACACTGCCGTATCGTTTAGCCATATTTTAGTGTTTTCCCTCGACTCAGTAATGCTATTTTCACTTTTACACAGTGCAGCTTTAAAGTAAAAAGTATTTTCTTTTTAAATGTACGACTTCACACATATGCTGATAATGATGATTTAATGATTCAAATCTGTGGTGTTGGCTCAGCGTGTGATCCCAGCAGAATGAAGACAGTACCTCCATGAAATACTGCATCTAAATGTGTTGAGAACTTTGAGGGAAGCATGAAGGAAAACTTCCGAATACGCCATGTTTAATGTTAGAGAACACAAAGCCACACCTTCAGTAAACACTGTACAGACTGTGTGGCTGTGAAAGACAGTAAAGGTTAGAAAGTAAACAGCACCTCCTGCAGGGCCATCAGAGCGTAAGCCTGCCACTTCAGGTGCTCCCGACTGAACATCTGACACACCTCCCGTACCTGAGAGAGAGAGAGAGAGAGAGAGAGAGAGAGAGAGAGAGAGAGAGAGAGAGAGAGAGAGAGAGAATATTTGCCTGGTTTTAATTTTACAATTCAACAGGCTCTTTTTGTTACTGTGCCTTTAAGACTCATATGAGCTCTGTTCTGATTGGCAGTCCTGTATGGCATCTCATTCAAAAAGCAGTTCAGGCTGAAACACCCTTTATAACTTCAGAAGGGGCGGGGCTAAACTGTGTCTGCTGAACAGACAGATGAGTTGGCTTTTGAGACATCACAAAAACAGGGAATTCCAAACAGGCTGCTTCTGCAGTTTAGTCTCCATATTCAGACGGTACAGACTGGAGAGCGAATGGCAGGATTAGAAACTCTAACAAGGTTTACATACTACTTCACACACTTACTGGCCCTTTAAATAAGGCATTGATGCAATGCAATGTATTGATCTGAAGAAGGCGATTCAACTGATTTTGAAAGGTTAGATTCATTTAAAGTAGTATTCAGTAAAATGTGTATTCATTTTCAAACATAATTTAAAGATACTTTGTTTTTCTTGCTTTTATTCTACGTTACACTTCTAAATAGTCAACAGTTCCTCCAATCACATGTGTATTGTGTATTTTTGAAGTTAATACTGAATTATAATAAAATGAACTTGATGGTTAAATGTGAGATTTCATGAGACACAGTCTTCCTTTCAAGAATCAAACAAATCTAATCATTGTGAGTTTACAGACTCACTTCTACAGGCTAGAACAACTCGGCTAATGAACAGTTTCTACCCACAGGCTGTCAGGCTTCTGAACAATCAGTGATGCTGTGGGTCCGTCCCCAACTACCATTTCACTCAGTCACTTTGTTAGTATTATTATATCACTGCTATGGACAATAACACAAAATATATATATATATATATATATATATATATATATTTTAAAGTGACAAATACATATACACTCAGATTATCCCTTTTTTAATATTTGTACACAGCAGAGAGGTTTTCTTACATAGGTCCCTCCTGTCTCTGTATAATTTGTGTATATTTAATAATTTTCAGTTTTAGTATTTTCTTTGTATTTTTACTTTGCACTGTTTTTAGTATGTATATAGTAGTGTTTTTTAGTGTGTATATAGCTCAGCCTCACCAAAGGATTTCAATGCATTAATGTCCTGACATGATGTGCAAATGACAAACAAACTTGAAACTTCTAGTAAATACACAAATCATCACTGTTAGAACAAAACATTCTCTCTCCATTTCTGATGTTATTTTCTTTGTTTCTTTTTTTTTCCTTTTTTTTTCTTTACATATAATTTTTTTACTTTGTCAAAATGTAATGGTAAATTGACCAATATAAATAATATAATAACTACTTGGAATAAAATCTTATCATATTAATTGGCTTTCCATTAATGAAAGTTTTCATTCTCCTGTCAAGTTAACATTTGGATATGACACTGTTTGTTCTGACACCAACGAAAGTGGGAGTGTAGACGTTTAAGCATGAAGAAAAGCAATATAGCAACAGCAATATAACCCAGCCTACCAGTGTTCGAAGAAAATAATGATACCAAATCATTTTCCCTTGAATGACACAAATTTACTAGCTTAAATACAAAAATAATGCATTTTATTCTTTTCAATCACATTCATTTAAATATGATTAGTGATTTTTGGTCTGGCCAGCAGGAGTGCAATGCACCAAAATCTAACTCTATGGATCTGAACCCAAAAATAAGACGTAATATCATCAAACCACTTTATCTGAGGGTCATACCAGGCGTGAGAACGGCCCCTTGCGCAGGAGCAGGTCCGTTGACTTCTGATATTTACGGATTTCCATAAGCGCTCTCATGCCCGGGCGAAACCTGCGCTTCTTCCTCGGCGTTGCTTCTGATGAGGAGTACAGAACAGAACGCAGGTTAAAGTGGATCACAGTCACAAAAGCATAATCAAGAGGAAACATTTGACATGCCCTGCTTACAGCACGTCCAAGCAAAAAGAGCTGGAAGCATCAGACTGGCACAGTACAAAACCTTTACCCCTTTATAGTCAACCAGCCGAGAATGTCTGACGTCTTCAGTTTGCTTTTTTAGCTTAAACACTAGAGGTATGAGGCTAATATAGTTACCACTTAATGGAAGCTTATACCACAACAATTAGCACTGTGCATCATACCCCCTCCTCAAACCATGTCAAGGTGTTAAAAAGGAATTCTACCAATCTTTCAAAAATATCTGCATAAATAAATTGTTAATAAGTAAACAGAGTCGTTCAGAGTGGTTTGGTGTGAAACGCTCTGTTCTAGAGAAACTTACAGAGTCAGAATTGTTCACAGTGGTGGTGATAGGAACCAGACGTCCACCTCTAAAAGCTCCCTCACAGAAATGTCATATTAAAGGGTTATGAATTCACTGCCTGATGTCTGAGACCCTGTTTTATGATAGGTTTGAGAAGATTTTGGCTTAAAACATACATTTTAATATTTTTCATGGTGGAAGGATATGTGCAGGGTGATGTAAGGCAAAATAGTACCCTGGTGGCTTTGGATGGTAAATAAAATGTCTATATCTGTGTTGTAGTCTTGGCGACCCCTGGTTCCTATCACCACCACTGTAAAGACATCTGAACCATTTCACACCAAACCACTCTGAATCACTCTGTTTACAGCTCACACACTGAATTAGAGACTTGTTTATGTGGCTTCTGACACTGTGTGACATACTGTTTATCTATAAAAGCAGACAAACATATGTCACATAATAGTAGCAGTACTATCTCCAGGCCTGAATTTGGGGCGAGGAGAAAACTGGGTGAATTTTTGTTTGAAGATACTAACATCTGCCCAAATCCACTCCTGGAGATCTACCACCATACAGAGAACACCTCAAAACATCTGGCTCTAATGTGCAGGTGACACTAAAGGCCTTGATGAATTAGAGGATCTTAAGTCAGGGCTGGAACTGAACTGTGTAGCCTAGTGCACAGACAACCAGCACAGACAACCTCCTCTGCCTGGGCTCTCACCTGAGGGTCCGCTGGTTCTGCGTGTCCGAGTTGGTGGAGGGCGAGGAGGAGACCTCCGTTTCGGAGTGGAGGGCTTCCGTCTGCGAGCTGATGAATCACGCCTCATCTTTCAGAGGGGTCAGTACGCCTGCTGCACAAAAACATTAAACGCACTATTTGAGGAGATTCGCCAGATATGTGGTCCAGAGAATCCACAGGTAAAGTCATGGTAGGGTTTCAGCAAGAACAAGACGAAAAACTTACTTACGATCATGCTTTTTATTAAAAGCTACTAGCTAGCTGTAAAGGGGAATTCCACCAACTTTTGAAAATTTGTGTAATATTGTAATATTTCAATCAGTTTGGTTCCTCATTCATAGGACACAGAGAAAGAGAGAGTGTGAAGGGGCGTGCTGTGACTTAATTTATCACAATAACGATAAAATGCTATCATACTGCCAACCTCTGTATGTGAATCATAAAACCAATGTGTCCAATGTTAGATAGTATGATCAACTGACCAAAACTTGTTTCTTCTGCTAAAGAATTAAATGGAGTGCAGAAGACACATCTAAAAACAAATAACATTACAGATAGATTTCAGCTTCACAGAAGTATTACTCACTTAAGTGCTTTATAGGATTCCCCCTGGGAAATCTACCATAAATCAGTGAGTGAGATGTAAACAGAGTGATTCAGAGAGGTTTGGTGTGAAATGGTTCAGATGTCTTTACAGTGGTGGTGATAGGAACCAGGGGTCGCCATGACTCAACACAAATATAGACATTTTATTTACTATCCAGAACCTCCAGTGAACCTTTGCCTTTTAAGACCCTGCATGCACAGCCCTCCTCCATGAAAGCCTATTTAGGAGTCATTTCAGGCCAAAACCTTCTCTCAGAAGCACTGAACAACAATGCTTTAAGCATCAGGCAGTGAATTCATAACCATTTCATGTAGTAACTTTCTGTGAGGGAGCTTTTAGAGGTGGACGTCTGGTTCCTATCACCACCACTGTGAACAGTTCTGACTCTGTAAGTTTCTCTAGAACGGAGCGTTTCACACCAAACCACTCTGAACGGCTCTGTTTACATCTTAAACATTTAATTAAGCGGAAATTTTGAAAATTATGTTAAACTCCTCTTTTAAAATGTTGTTTATTACAGAACAGTGATCTAAATATGAGGCACACAGTGAGCAGATCTCTCTCAAACAGACTGATAACAGACTACAGTTCCGTTATACTGCATCGTAAAACAATTCGCCAGCTTCTTGTTCGAATTTTCCGTTCCACCTTAAATAGTGCAGCAACTAATGCACCATTTAAGGTGGACCGGGCAAGTTCGAACGCGAAGCTGGCGAACAGTCAAGCCAACTTCAGCCTCGTCTCGCTCGGAGCCATTTTCAACACAATCTTGCACGCATTTAAACAGGAATCAGCTCTGAAACGTTTGGAAATATTAACCGGCCGTACATTTAACCTCTGAACGAAACTACAGCAGAGAAACAGAGCAGAACTCTCACCCACAGCCGCCGAGCGCCGAGACCTGCGGACCGTTTTCCCCGGAGAGCCTCGCACAAATTCAAACAATGCGGCGCAGCACCGGCCAATCAGCGGGCAGCGCTGCCTGAAACGTCACCGCAGGGCGTGGCCGTGGAGTTTCCGAACCAATCGAAGAAGAGCTTCCCTTCGACGTCATATCTCGAAAGCAGCAGCGACGCTTCTGTAGGCCAATCTGTGACGGGCCGAAATGTTACTATGGAAACCGGTTTGTTTTCGTCAGATGGAGTTTTAAAAATCGACGTTTAAAAAATACTCGTATTATTTTAAAACTGATTTTTCAGACAGTTGTTTTGTAAACTTTCTCATAAAAAAGGACCAAAAATATTTATATTATTTTTTAAAGATCCTTTTCAGACAGTTATTGTCTTCTTATTTTTTTTAAAGGACTACGATGTTTGTGTTTTTTAAACGATTTTTCAGCCAATTATTTTGTCAGCTTTCTTACAAAAAAGGACCAAAAATATTAGTATTATTTTTTAAAATCCCCTTTCAGACAGTTGTTGTCTTTATTTTCCTAAGAAAAATGACCAACACATTTGTGTTTTTTAATGAAATTTTTAGTAGTTTTTTCTAAAAGGGCTAAAAATATTTGTATTAATTTTGAAATGTCTTTTCAGCCAGTTATTTTTTAAAATTTCTTCTAAAAAAAACTCCAAAAAAACCCAAATTGTTTGTATTAATTTTAAAAATTCCTTTTCAGCCTGATATTTTCTATTTAAAAAACAAAAAAAACAAAACTATTTTTGCTAAGTTTTTAAATCCATTTTCAGCCAGTTAGTGTCTTAGCTTTTACATAAAAAAAGGACAAATTGTTTGTATTATTATTTAAAATCCATTTTCAGCCGCTGCAGGAAAGCTGATGCCATAACCACTTACTTTGTTGCCTTATGAAATCAGTGCTTTTTAACACATCAGCATTCGTCAAGTGATTTTAAAGAAACAATACACCTATAATCATCATTGTCATGCTGTGATGAAAAGAGCCTGAGATTAAAGAGCAGTCTACCAACACATCCATCTCCAACTCCTAGGGTTTATTGTGTTGAGCGTCGTCACTGCCAACCCTGCATGAACTCCTCACCTGCGTCTGGAGTCCTGCTGCGCTTTCACTAGAACTCATTATTGTGTTCTTCAGTAGGACAGTCAGATCCTACATATGTCTGACAGACGTTTCTGTCGAGATATCTCCTGGATCTTTACTCATTAATCTTCCTCGTAACTTTATCCCACTGTCTGGCGAGGCCAAGAGAAGGATGAGCTCCCAGGACTGTAAAAGTGTCACGCAAACATTATTGAACTTAACAGAATTTATTAAAAACCTCTATGTGGTATGATATTCTCTGACATAAACCATCCAGTGCATTATTACAGATATTCCACTGCAGCACCTCAGAGATCTCAAAAATAAGTTGGTACATTAACGTTTTCCACTGGTCACATATTTAAATAAAAACAAATATTCCAGATGTTCTCATATCAAAGCTTTAATGTGTAGCTGTAATTTCTCCAGTTATCTAAAAAAAATAAGTTTACAATAAGCTGATTTGGTGGAGTTTCATTGGGTGTCCATGGTCTGAACGGATTCCTCTACGATGTCCAGGGTTAGTGGAGTGACCGTTTTGGTCAGGACTGGTGTTGTGCCGGGCTTGTATCTGTAACTGCCCTCCCTAGAGCGCAGAAAGAGAGACGACAACAGACGTAAATAATCTACAATGCAGTCCTGCACTTGTTCGTGTGGTTTTATACATCAACAGTCCTAATTCATTTATACATGATCATTTTCAAACATTAAACAGGCTGTTTTTGTTACTGTGCCTTTAACATTGATATACGTAAACTGTGCTTTTTCCAAAAAGCAGTCTGGGCTGAAACACTCCTTATAACTTCAGCATGAATGGGTGGAGTTAAACTGCTGTAGACTGAAAATTGGGCTGTTTTTTGCAGCTTAGTTTCCACATTAATGTATGAACTGTGGAGCAAACAGTACATTTTGCCACTTCAGCACTGGCTGTATTTACACCCAAAGATTTTCTCCGATCCAATTGAACACATACCAATTACAGATTAAGACTGAGGTGTTTATATTCTCACTCTATTCAACACTCTGATGGAAAATCTCCATTTACATGCTCACTACAAGTAATCCGATCCAAAATTACGTGCTTGTGTAGAGATCCACTTAGTGTAGACGTTACCATGACAACCAGCATCAGTCCAGTCAGAGTGAGACGAGCAGCAGTGAGCAGCGATTGTGTTTAAAATTGCTTTAAAATGATGTCAGACTCAGGAAAACGTCCTTCACATGTCCTTATTAAAGAAGGCCGAGAGGAAGACGTCGTGTTCTGAGACACATAAGCTGGACGTCCGTCCCACCGCCGTCTTTTAAAGATCAGAGCATAAACTTTGTCTCCTCTGCAGACCAGTTTCTGCTCCGCCATGCTGAACAGTATAAACTTTCACTATGACGCGACGAACATGATCAGAACGGACTTAAACTTTCAGATTGGGAATGTAATCAGATACAGGCGTTTACACTGATATTATTCTTCTATTTAACAGATAACAGATTGGGGGTCTGGAGTTATGACACTGCCGTAGTTCTGAATCCTCAATAGGCCGCAGCATTTTGCGCTAGCTGCAGAGGAGGCTCCTCCGTAGAGCACTGCTGCTAAAAGACGCACTCTACCTAACAACGGTCCTTTAAATAAGCCACACTGACTGTTATCTATAAGAACTACCTCTACTACTACTACAGTGCTGACAGGTGGGGTATAAGCATCCATCACTGTAGCTACATTAGCTTCGCAGTCCAGAGAAAACTCTAAAAAGTAAATTTCAGACACCAAACCTGTGAACTCAAACCAAACCTTCACTTTAACAGAGATGTGGAACTCACCGCTGACCCTTCTGTGAAGGCTGGTCATAGCCACGGAGATAATTCACGCCTTTCTCCGTGATCACGCACAGGTCCACGTTACTGCCGGAGCCCAGATCACAGAAGATCCCCGCAGCGATGGCATCACGCATCAGCTGCTTAGCCTCCTCCAGCTGAGGAGTGGTGTTGGTTTGGTTCATAGAGAGACAAAAATGGAGAGAAGGAGAAACGGAGTAAAAGAGAGAAAGATATTAATTCACAATTTTGAGCTGAGTCAGGTATTTAAACACAGAAAAAACATGAAAAGTCTTAACATCATGCTGTAACTTTATATTGTCACTGTCAGAACAAAACATTGTGTCCCCAAAAGCAAAAACACATTGCTTTTAATGTAAGTCAATGTAACCAGACTGACAATTTTATTTGGCCCATTCATCATGAAATTCATAAACACTGTAAAGAGTAGCTGGTGTGTTTAAATTACGTCAAAAAATAACAAAAATGTAGATATGAGGTTTTGTTCCAGCAGTGCTGGTATTCAGCTCATTGAAACAAGCTGATTAATTGTATGGAAAGTGCAGATTCTTAACTATCAGCACATTTTGGTGTTTGTAAGCAGAAAAGGAGATATTTTATTATGATTTCAATTGGATGTAAAATTACTAAAATTACTAATTACCAAACCTGATGCAGATACAGACCATGAATGACACAGAATGTAAAATGTATGATTCATTATATAACTATGCATAATTATTTTTAAATGGTAGAACAAAACATGACTAATTTCTAAGGGCTAACTCAATCAGTGAGGCTTTGTTCACACAGCAGGTAAAAGTGGCCCAAATTTCAATTCCGATTTGAGACGCTTTCATATGCGGTACTGAAATCCGATCCGTATCCAATCTGCGGCAATGTGACTCAGTCTGAACAGCCAGATCGGAATTCATGCGACTTTTACGTCAATCCAACTCGACATTCGCGCTGCTGAGACTCAAAAACGTTTAGGCTGATGTTTCTGTACTAAAACATTAGAAGAGACTCATCAAACCGCTCCGTGTTTGAAGCAGCCGAACGCGGCCGGAGGAGGCCGAGGCTGCAGCGTTTAAAGAATCCGAGAACACGAACCAATGAAGCGGCCGTGGCCGAATAACGTTGGCCGAATAACGTTTTTACGGCGAACTCGAACACACTGTGGGTGATGAGTCCAGCTGTCAACCACTGGAACTTTATACTCGCTCCTGTGATGCTGGTGAAGATGAAGCTGATCCTCCGGGAGCGACAGACGTTCACCGGCCGTCATGACTGTTTACCTCTGGACGAGCCGCTACGTGAAGCACTGTTCTTTCGCGCATGCGGGTCACTTTAGAAGCTGATCTGTTCAGACTGATGTCGCATACAGATCACATTTAAAAGATAATGGAGGAACCCAGGAGGATAAGCTGCTTAGATAATGTGTGTGTGTGTGTGTGTGTGTTCAGAACCCTCATTCACAGTTAAGGTTATCACAGAAAAGAATCTCAGTCTGGAAAATATGAAAGTGCAGGTTTTACCTCCATCTTTGCCTTAAATCGGTCCTCAAATACAGAAACAGCTGCAGCTGCTCCAGAACCTGAAAGATATTCACCAAGTTACGCCACCAGCTCTAAATACAGTTTATTATCCAGAACATATTTCGTTATTTTTATATGGAATGTTGACGATGGTTAAATAGAGTAAAAACTACGCTTTAGGTCAAAATCTTCTCAAAACTATCATAAATCAGTGTCTCAGACATCAGGCAGTGAATTCATAACCATTTCATGTAGTAACTTTCTGTGAGGGAGCTTTTAGAGGTGGACGTCTGGTTCCTATCACCACCACTGTGAACAGTTCTGACTCGTAAGTTTCTAGAACGGAGTATTTCACACCAAACCACTCTGAATGACTCAAACAAATTAATTCGATGGAACTTTTGAAAAATTGGTGGAATTCCCCTTTAAGTAATCTCTAATAGACTTGTTATGTGGTTGTTGACACTGCATTATATGCTGCTGTCTATAAACATGGACTAAAGTACATCGCATAGCTAAAAACAGCAGCAGGAGTTATTTTGAAGTCAATCTGAAATCTAAATTGCCCTTTTTTAGGTTGTTAAA